GGCATGCTCTTATAAGCTGCAGCAGCCGCTTCAGCAGTAACATTAATACTGCATTGCGTCAATTTACCTGAGGACAGTACATCGGCATTAGCTGTGGTGGAAATGGTGCGGATTCAGGCCCAATGCATCCCATACGTTCATATAGAATCTCCTCTTCCACGTCTTCGGATCCACCATTCGCATTGGTGCCATTTGGTTTTGGAGGCCGTGGCTGTTCCCATGTCAGCACCTCAAGCTACAATAAACAATGCGTACGGCGTTCAGGTTGGGCAGATGCATTGGCTATCGGTGCAGTTAGTGTGGTAAAGACACTTACAGAAATGTCACCGGGGTATCTGGAACACCTCAGAACAGCTCCCAGTGTGACAAAACTGGGCTCACTTGGCGTCTCCATGAATAACCGCCAATCCTGTGGCCAGTGACGTGTGCTTTTTGGAATGTAGAAGAGAACGACACGACCTAGTGGGAAGGCCTCGTCAAGTGCCTCCTGAGGCAGCTTGGCAGCGGCATTTGCACACTCCTCCGCAAGTTGTCGCCACCGACAGCAGGCCTGGTAACATAAGACAATGCACATAACACATGCAAGACGACGCGTGACTGGCACTCTTACATGCCGAGTAGACGAGTGACTAGCACTTGAAACGGTGCCAGTACCCGATCTAACCTTAAACAGCCTTGTGGAAGAGGCTGTTGCGAGAGCGAAAAGTATCTCATCGACAACTGGATGACACATGAGCACTACTAACTAACTAACTCAATAACGAACAAATGCGCACCTTGTAGTAGTTGGCCATCTCGGTGACGCATGGAGCAGAGCCGGATTGAGCTGAGGTGAACGGATATGCAGGACACCGCACCTGCAAATTACAGACTTTACTCTGATCTGCGCCATATGATCTCGCCTCCGCCGCAGCCAAAGCCATTGCAACAGTCACGCAGTCTCCTACGTTTCTGGCGCAAATCGCATTCTGTATTGCGTGCATTCTCTTCAAACTGTCCTGTTCACATGGTTCTTGAGGTACGCAGAAAAAACTGCTGCGAATAAGGTCCTAGATCAAACCAAATAGCACAAGGTGTCAATGCAGCTCTACCATTGACTGTAGGTTAGCACTGGAACGATAAGGCGCGCATACCATGGGCGATGTGTGTGTGTTGCGTTGCATGCACAGAACCGTGGAGAAGGTGAACCGAAATTGGGACTGCAGCCTTGTGCCCGGTCCATGAATCAGGTCTGTCAGCTCTCTTGACAGCGGCA